TCAGGAAATAATTGAGGAGGAGAGTGAGACACAATTTCCCCCATTCCTTGAGACCCTCAAAGGGCTGAAGGACACTTTCCCAAAAAGACGTTTTCATCTATTTAATGATTTCTGAAGTGCCCCCAATGCATATGCATAATTTAGGGCCTCAGAACAATTGAAGTCGCCTTAAAAACACCAATATCAACAATACACAAGACTGATAAAAAGCTCTCCTTGACTTTCAGCTCCAGGCAATCTGCCAGCCTCAATAGCCACCAGTACTGAACCTGTGTCACAAAGCTCCCTTCTTAGCACTGGTCGTCGTATTATACCCAAAGGCAGAATTCTGTCTTCTCTGCCAAGGTACATTTGCCACCCTGAAGTTTCCTTTTAAGAAATGTGCTATTTCTCATATGCCCCCAGAGTCTTTGTTTCCATTAAACACCTGCCTAGTGCACCACAGGAATTACCACTGTGCTTGGCTGACCTCAACATGTGAGCTCGGCCCTGTTCTCAACCACAAATATAGGCAAGACAAAGTGCCCGGGTGTTAAGTTCTCACTTGCGGACCCACAATAGCCACAGATAATGGCTGGAAGAGGTGGGGAACTTTAGGTAATTTTACGCCTAATTGTTTTCTGCAAGAAGAGAAGTTTGTTTTAGTGGACTCAACATTTATTCAAAGGAAGACCAAGAAATTCTATTTACACAAGACTAAATATGGGAGCTCATCTAGATGCTAACTATGTGCTGATAAGCAAACATACATGAGAACATACTCCTTTTGGAGCTCAGACTGATTTTAAGAACAAGTCAGAAACCACTCTGGGGAAATTACTGGGAGGAAGGCACACGGGAAAAAGTTAGGCTAGCGGTTTTTAAGCAAGGGCCTTCCATGAGCAGTAACAGTTCTGTGATACCCCCCATCTCAGCCACAGGAGTAGATGTGACTGGGGCCAGGCTATCATGATCCAGAAGCAGCCACACAAACACACTTGCCAAAGCTGGATGAGATCCCCTGATTTTAAGTTTTCAAAAGAAAAAGAGGCACCAATGAATGTGGAAACATGAGAGCAGATCCTTTAAAATCACTGGGAACCTCCATCAAGCCACCCCCATGGGGTGGGGGGCAGAGGCGGGGCAGGGGCAGAGGCATGCAAACCACTTCTGCTGTACGGTTAGAACCCCATTTCCAAAGCAACAACCAGTTCCTTGGTTTGCAGGGTACAAAAATGGCGGCACAAGATGTAGTACTGGACAGACAGCTCCTGCCTCAACCAGACTTAGGGCCCTGATTAAGCACACTAACACTGCATCCTATTCTACATAAGAGGGTGTTTTCAAGAAGTTAGTGCTGATGGCATTTCGTTTTCCAAATGGTCCCATCATGTCCAGGGGCATGGACAAGTATCAGCCCATAGCTTTTCACTCATTTACTTAAGATTTGCTGTGGACCCAGAATCAAGGGGGCATGAGACTGGGGGTTGTGGATGGCTGCACCTAAATCCAGCTGTGAAGGCTGGAATTAAAGCTCGCCGAACACAAGAGCAGAAGGTCAAGCCCCTTGCATTTATATCAGCACCAGCCAACCCCAGCAGCTAAACGCTACCTGCCAGTCACAGCAGGCAGGGGTCACATGCTGCTCTTTGCTCCCAACCTACGCACTCCCTGGTGCTTCTCCAGCAAACACCTCGGCACCAGAGGACAAGGCCCCTGATCCAAGTCATGAGGAACAACATGAGAAGCCGGGCACGTTGCTCCCGCCCCCACATAAATAAGTGCATTACACAGGCACACAGAGGGCTCTGCTGGCCCCCTGCTTCTTTCTAAGGGATGCCTGAAGGGTTGGGCTTTCACCTTGACAACCCCAAGCTGTTTAGGACCAGGGGACCTAGCAGATGCCCTCTGCCCATGAGGAGCCAGTCTGACAGCTGTGAGGCCCATCAGGGGCTCTTCTCAGCTGCACTGCACAGGTGGATGACTTACGAGGGAAGGGCACGGTGATCTGCCCCTGCCGTTCAATACTGGCTGTTCTCAGGGATCTTTCTGGGAGCTGCCATGGGCGTCCCTATCTGGCAAAACAGTAATTTTACACAGAGAGAGCAGAAGGCCCATCATATTCTTATCTTAAGGAAGGGGTGCAAGCAGCATGCCCCCCCCACAGCCCCCCTGCCTGCGCTGCAGCAGCTTTGCTTGGGATTTCCCATGCTCGCAAGGGTGTCGTGAGCCCTTAACTGTGAGCCCTGATGAGACGCTGAAGATAACCAAGGGATTCATTCCTCTTGTCCGCAGCAGCTTGAGGACCCTCCCTGGTTTTCCACAGCTTGTGTTCCAATCTCTCATCTGGGACTGCCACTATAAAAGGGAATGCTTTGCTGCTGTGACCCAAGCAAAGGCTGGTGCCAGCGAGTGAATTTTCTTGCTCACGTTGGTGCACTTCTGCATACACGTGTGCAAGGCTACACTGCACGCCTGCCTGCACAGACATCTGATGAGATCCCTGGCACAAAAATGGCTTCGCTTTAAAAGAAGCGTGCACTGTTGCTGTACGAAGAGGAGACCTTTGCCAGAACCACCAAGAAGTCTTCGCAACCCCACATATCATCTTGAGAATGAGGAGGTGAGCAATATGGCTGCCCTGATGTTCGCGCACCCTGGTAAACGGCGCTCAGCATATTTTTAAAGTGGCGATAAATAAAGGCCTCAGCTTGCTTCCCTTTAATGCTGGGGGCTCTCGTAAGAGAGCTGAGTACTCATCAATAACACCTGTACAATGGCAGGGAGGGTTTTTTGTTGTTTGTGTGGCATTAGCAGCAAATCAATTACATTATGACAAAACAGGCTCCCTGTCAGCACCTCTGGAGGAATTTTAGTACACCGTAAAGATGACATGAGGACTTGGCTGCCTGTAATCTTGCTGCGCCTGGTTGTCTTTGAATAGAAAACAACTTGCATAGCTGGATCTTCACCGCATGGAGCTGCATCTCCAGCTCTCCTTGCAGAGCGCAAATGAAAACCCTACTTGGACTTAAGTACTTGGGGGGCCAAAAAGAGCCAGCTGGTGTGGTGGCCAGAGCGTGGGACTGGGGACCCGCAAGGTCCCAATTCTAGCCCTCGCTTGGCCATGAAGCTCACTCGGTGACTCTGGGCCAGTCACCATGTCTCAGCCTAACCTACCTCACAGGGTTGTTGCTGTGAGGACAAAGCGAAGCTAGATAAGTCACCTTGTGCTCCTCACAAGGAAAAAAAAGGTAGACTTTAAATGCAAGGTAGATAATACTGATGATAATGGTAGACAACATTTGCATAAATTGTGCTCATGCTCACTTACATATACAGATGCGCCTTTAGATATTATGGCTCTCTTTCGGACAGAAGTACAACACATACCAGCCTAGTTAGGAAGACTGTTGCCAGACATGTCTATTTTTTTGGAGCAGACATTCGAGGGATCCCTGTCTCAGAAGCCAGCCAGCCAGCCAGGGCACATCCACGGAAGCCAGTGCCTGCTCCCGACCCAACCATTAGCTGAGCACTTTGCGCTCCCTTTCGCCCCGAGAGTGCATTTAAAAGCATCCTCTGTACCAGGCTGTGCGTGCAGCTCGGGCTCTGCAGTGGCGCAGGAAGAGCACCAGTGCGGCACCCCAAGGAGGCTGAGGGCTAGCAGCACCCGGTGCTTTCAATGCACAGTCGGACTGACTAGGTTCCGTTCGCTCACGCAGCCACCCGGAGCCCCTGACCACACTAAGGCGGGGCTTTGACACCACCAGCATTTTCAACCATTCTGGAGTATGTGCTGTGGAATCACAAGCCCGCCTGCGAATTCCAGGTTAGAAATATTTCACAGCAAGTATATTCCATGAAGGATGTTATTTAAATGTTTATGAGCTGCCTTTCCAGATCCAGATCCAGTCAAGGCAGGGAACAAAAAAGAAACATGACAATTCAGTGATATAACACTTCAGTTCTTTTAAATTTAAGCAAAGAAAAAGCAAAGGATGCATTTAAATATAGTTCAGTCAGTATGAAACTCTTCCCAGAGCCACAGCAAGGCAGCAGCAGCAATGAAATGCCTCACAAGCCATTCAAAACAGGAGGATTTTCACAGATTTTTCAATGCCGCAACTAAGAAGGCAAATGGCACATCCCTTGGAAAGCAGTTCCATAAGGCGGGGGGCGGGGGAGTTCCTGGGACAACCTTGCCAGTATAGGAAATAAAGGTTTTAACACTGGACCAGCAGGCAGTTTGCCCAATGCTGAGTCAGAAACATGGGCAGGTTCGGAAGCCCACAGGCAGGTCCTTTGCAGAACTTGGCCAGGTGCAAGCGTACCTTTGACCACATGCCAAGCCTTAGCAAATCTGCCACCTGCAAACAAGGTGTTCTGCAGCATCCAAAGCACACAAGTAAAATATACTAATGACTTTCTCTTACTCTGCAGCAATCAGCAGAGGCCCAGACCAGTTGAGAGGACCAAAACAAGCAAGCTGACATTTAGCAGGACCATCTATAATGGAACTGGGCGTTGGGGGGGGGGCGGCGGGCAGGAGCATGGTCAGTCCCACAGCTCAGTAACCAAGTACATGACTTGTATGCGGAAGGTTCCAGTTTCAATCTCCAACATGACACATCACCATTGAGAAAGCAATAGGACAGCAAAAGACCTTATGCCAATATCGGGCTGCTCGATCATTGATCTGGCTATTTATAAACCGTGGCCAATGTTTGTGGGAGCCTCGTTAAGTACTTGCGTTGTATTACTGGCAGTGGCCGGACGGGTGGGGTGCAGGGATATGGACCGGGGCATGTGTGCGACTGGGTTCACAATGAGTAAAACATTAATTTAAAATATCCGGAACCCCACATATACGGTCAAAGGGCAGGCCGACCGTTATGCCTGCAAAACAGCAAAGAATCAACACGGAGAACAGTGCTTCTCCTCTAGACTCCCATCGCCACTCAAGGGCAGGACACATGGCTAAGAGCTCTTTATTGGCATATGGAAGGGAATCGACTCACCTTGTCTCTGGATTGTAGCCCAGTATGTAGAAAAAGGAATCCACACGAGCTTTAAACTCTCTAGCAGCGAAGATGTCAGAGAAATGGGAGATGTTGCACTTCCCCCTGCAAAAAAAGGGGAAAAGGAGAAATCAAGTTGGGCTCTCTGGGAGGAGGATGGACGACGCCACAGAGCTGAACTGAAGGTACCACAAAACTCAACACCCTCCCCTGAATCAAATATCATAATAACCCTACTTATTCCTCCTGTTAGTACAATTCACAACTTCAGGGTGGAAGAAATGCAGCTCCCCAATCTGCTTCCCCCAGGTGTTCTGGACTAAAACTTTCATCAGCCCCAGTCAGCATGGCCAATGGACAGGAATTCTGAAAGGCCACTAGGCTGGGGAAGTCTTCCCTATATTAATACTGATGTAAACATTAACTAAATCTAAGCACCGTATTAACTAAACTGCACATAATTCCACCTTGTATCAGTTAGGAGCAATTAGAACTGAACCGATCTTCCACTTAAGCATCTATCTTAGAGACTATAACACTGCGTTCCAAGATACCACTTACCCTGATTCTGTTTCTAGCTTTTAGAGGCCCTGGAACAACTTAAGTAGCTTATGGCTTTCCAGCAACTCCCACCTTCCATAGAGAGCAGAGCCAACATTGAGGGATCGTGACCGATGTAGCCCAAAGCATCTGGGGAGCTGCAAGTAGCCTGCCCCATTCAAGGGGGTGAAGGAGAAAATTAAAAGCTAAGCAGCTGATTTCCCTGTGCCCACACCATGGTCCCAGGACGTCTCTTCCCTGCCCCAAAGCCCTTTGCACAGCAGCCTAAATGCCTTGTGCAATACTGTGCATTTTTTACAGCAAGCCAAGCATGCTACTTCTGCACACAGCCCATCATTACAGCACCCGTTCTCAAACTGGAGTCACTATGAACTTCCCCAAGTCATAAAGCAGCTCTGCAAGTCTATTCAGCTACAGAAAGGACCGCTCTGCCAAGGATTTGTATCGTCCAAGGACGAAGGAAAGCGCTGAATGGAGCGTGTGTGAAAAAACTCTGAATTTGCCCATCTGAGCGAGGGACCCTAGAGAATCCAAAGGTAAAACCAACCCAGCCAGAAGGTTTGCAGCCAAAGTGACAAAACTATCAAAGCAGCCCTGTTGCCCCAAACAGGAATTAGTATGCGCCTGTTTCATTTCTATATGGCACGATGCACAAAGCTCTCTGATCAGTTAGCAACAGCTTATACTATCTCAGCAAGAGTGGTAACGTTTGCCCCCGTGTTATCAAAACATCTGTGGTCCATTTCCAGCTTTTTCTAGATCTTTGCAGATCTTTGTAACCACCAAGAAGACGTTAAATCAATGTTGCTCTTATTTTCCTTGTCAGTCAACATGCAGGCAGCTGGTATTCTATATTTTCTGGTTCTGGTATGGAGGAAACATCGTCTGCCCCAAAGTTTCTGACCGAGAAGAAAGGCAATCTTGCAATTTACCGGATCAGTCTCAACTATCACCCTTCTCCTCTTGTGCCAGGCCTTCAAAATCCAATTCTAACCTGTGGCAGAAAGTCCTGCTAAATTACTTCAGTATCAAGAAGTGGCCAGGAAACTTTGCCACGGCTATTGGACAGTGGTTTTCCTCCACAGTATATTGCTGGGCTCACTTGCATGAGTCATTCCAAGCTATCTGTTCACAGATTTGCTGTTTATTTAGATTTATACACTTGGGATGCAGAGGGGGCTAGAACTGGGTGAAGACACCACCCATTAAGCTTATTTTCCCCAGCAGCCGGGCCCCACAAGGTCCCAAAACCTAAGCCTGAATGGAGAGGCTTCAATGACACCAAACAAGAGACCTTTGCAGATGCACCTGTTAAATTGCTCCAACTTCCCATGCTCTGGTTTGCTCTCTGACAATGCTTTTCATCTGCGTGTTATTGTTGCACTGCTTTCATACTGTATTGTATAAGTTTATGTAAACCGCTTACAGCTTTTATGATACCAAGTGGTATACAAGTAATATAAGCAAGCAAGCAAGCAAACTGCTGAGGCCAGACAAAGGCCAGCAGCTGTTAAACAAATACGTGCATAAATTAAGGGCTTCACCAGAAACAAAGTTTGGCCTCCTTGGTGCTGGTCGAATTCACGGGGTTTGCAGAGGAGCTCCCAAGCAGCCGAAGAAGGCAACCACCTGGGGAGTACAGGTCGTGCTGCAGGGAGGGGAGAGGCAAGACAAGGCCGTCTGGGCACCCAAAGCTCCCTCCCGTTTGCTAACGCACCATGCGCATGGGTGCCATGTGCTGGCTCCTGGGGAGCTCCGACCCAGCAGCTCGGTGTGCCCCGCGTCAAGACTTGCGCTCTGCCTGAGCACTGCAGCCGTGTCGTGCTTGTCCTTTTCAGTGGGCCTTGTTTGGGAGACCAGCAGAGAGCACGGAGAGGCGCACCCACCATGGCGGGTGGCTGTTTACCGCCAAGGAGCGACTGCAGGACACGCTGCTTTTATGCCCACGTGTGGGCGTCCCCCTGAGGCATCGACTCGGACGCTGCCGGAAAGAGGTGCTGGACTAAGCAGGACCGTTGTGCGGTGGAATGACTACAGCCGTCTTCTCCAACCTGGCTTCCTGCAACTGCTTTGGCCTACAACACCCAGCAGGCCTCATCCGTGGCCTTGCTGGATGACACTGGTAAGAGTGAGGTCTATCTGCTGGGTACCAGGTTAGGAACGGCTGAGCTAAGGGAACGCTGCAGGCATTTCTAGAATGCTGCCTGCAGCATTTATTTAGGCAATGTCTGTGCCACCCTCTTCGATTAAAATTCTTTGGATGATGTACAATATGTCACAGTAATTTTTTTTAAATATTGTCCGCATTTACAACTAATACTAAAGCATAATATAACTAAGTATGGCTTGTTGAATTACATGTCATTGCTGCCGCATGCAAACACAAAACATCGGTTAAACATGAACAATCCACAAAGAGAACCCATGGTTTGCTGTGAAATTATGAAATCTGGGTTGATTAAACCATGGGTTGTCACTCAATGTGCAGTCAGAACTGTGGGTTGTTTAGCCAGGCTACAGAGTTGTCAGGCACAAGTGATAACACCAGTCCCTCTGCAGGAAAATACTACAGTGCAATGCAGGGATGCGGAATACAGGGAGGGATTGGCAGAATGGGAAGGATCCAAACAGCCTAGGGAGTGTGGGAAAAACATGCAATTTGCTCAGTCATCTGTAAACCAAATCACAGGTTAACCCTGTGTTAATTAAACCATGGTTTCTTGTTGGATGCGAACCAGAACGTTTTTATTTAGCAGCATTTCCAAACTGCTTAAATGAAGTAAATTCTGTCTGAAACCCTGCAGAGCCAGTGTCAATAACAGCAAGCTAGATGGGCCAAACTAGATAAAATTGGCATGCAGCATCTTGCAATGTCCCTAAGTGCTACAGAAAAATGAAGGTATTTGCCTGGCACTGAAGTGACGAAGTGGGCACCAGGCAAGGCGCTCTACGCAGGGCATTCCACTACCCGGATGCCATGACACAAAGGCACTCCGTGCATCCACTACAGATGACAAGAGCAGCACTTCCAAGCCGCCCAAGGCCTATTTCTGTTGCTGTTACCCACTTCCTGATCTTTCCCCAAACCCTCACAAAAATAACAGCCAATGAAAACACAACAGGACTGCTCTGAAATTACAGATGCACAGCCTTTCTTGGCATCTGAGCTGACAATGACATTTTCAAGCTCGACAGCATCAATCGAGCCAAGCTCACATTTGCTGGTATTCTCCTCCCATCAAGCCAATTTAAGACTGGAAAGCTAATTTCCTCGAGACATAAAAACTGTTCTGGTATTCTGGAGAAGATTACAGCAGACAAGCAGGGTTTTCCAGGCTTATCTCATATATAATAACCACCACCCAGTAATAAGTCAAATCAAAAGGTTTGCTTCTCTCCTCTCCACCAGAGGTTACAGCTGGCTTGACTTGAAGGAAGTAACTTCAGCCATGTGGTTTTGAAACATGGAACACGTCTCCAGGTGGCTTTATTTAAAGCACCATCTGAGTATTATCAGCAAGGAGATAATTCAGTTCACGTTCTGACAATATCCACATGCTCTTTCAGCAAGCCTCAAAATGAAATGCATGATTCCAGCTGCTTTTTTCCCCACATTTGAATTCATCACAACAAAGACTACTTCCCCAAAGATTGTTAGTGCTTCACTTTTTAAACCAAGGAAGAGGAGAAAAAGGAGAGAGAAACTGATCAACTCTCCCTAGGTGAAGGTTAATCAGAAGAAGTTGTCATACAGAGCATGATGCAGGATTCAGAACTGCTTCTACTTCTCTCTCTCTCTCGTACATATGCACACACAGGGGCTGGGGAAGGCATGTTTCTTGGGACAAATTAGAAACCTTTCGGCACTGCATGGCCATCTACGCCAAACAAGCCCACACCCACAGTTTAATACAACACTTGTTTGAACTCGGAAACCAGCCAAATGTACTCCCAAAGGATCCCTGTCAAAATCCCAACAAATCTCCAACCGTTTGAGGACTTAATTCCAACCAATCAGCTGTGAAAGGGATGTATGTACCTGAAGTAATGACATCAAGGCCAGAAACAAGGTAAAGGCAACCAACCAAATTCATGTCTTCAGCTCCCTCTATTTCCAAAGCTGCTCCTGCACTATCCCAATTTGCAGATCAAATCCTCACTCATGTACAGCTGACCTTTACCAGGAACAGGTATGCCTTTGATTTTGGTTTCTATCTGTTCAAGATCATTCCTGTTCAAGATCATTCCTGACTGAAGACGAACAAGCTTCTCTATGATTTCTTGTGTTCTCCTTTCCAAACTGGATCTGTGAAACCCAGTGATGAAGAAAAGGCCAAGATTGCTTATTATTTTTCATGGCTACTGGCTACATAATCAAATGAATGACTGCATTGGCCAAGATTACATATTAGTGTCCAGTAAGACCTTCTAGGATACTGTATAGATGCTGGCATTCCAGCCCCAATTTAAGACATGGGGCAAAATGATTACCCTTGAATTGTGAGAAAGCAAGTTTGCAGTGCTAACAAAACAGTTTCTGGGTTGCAGACAATGCTAAACAACCAAGGGAAAGAACAGAGAATCCCTGGGCTGTTTGACCACTCCCACCTGTAGCGGAAGGGAATGCACAGCTTGCTGACAACAACCTGAAGTTGTCAAAAACTGGGCTGTTCTCAGGACTGAACTGAGCCTTTTTGATAAACGTAGTAGAAGAGCTCACTGAAAACACTCTAGCACCTGGATCCATGTCATCTGCAGGTCTAACTATCGCAACCTTCCCTTCACACCTTAATGACATGGCTGCAAGTACATAATGAGAACAGCTAGTACCTCAGACCTTATATTCAGAACTGTGTTACTTGATTAACTAAAGAGTACACATTTCAATCAACCACCCAATTAACTGAAGAGCACACAATTAAACTGTTTTGTTAAGCACAATTAATACACCATTAACTAAAGAGTTTACAATAAAACACAAATACAAAAAAAAGACTCCCCCCAAAAAATCAACATAGAATACACAGATGTTAGCAAGAGGAGCAGAAAACCAAACCAAAGGTAATGAATTGGACTAATGCCCACAGCAACAATGGAAAAGAAAAATGGCCTTTATGGTATTAACCGAAGAGCGAGTTAAGTGCAGAGCCTATGCAGAGGTATTCCCAAGCTCCAGAGCCACAACCAATAAGGCCTCGCTTCTTGGGCAGTCTTGCTTCCACATAAGTTTAAAGCAGGGCCTCAGTATACTTCAAGGAAGCGTATATGTGCAAAGGCCATCATGGATGGCAAACAAAATCAACACAATAAAAGAAAGACGGTCAAACAATCAAAGAAGCACAGCTTGAACTATGAGATACTAAAAGCAAAATAAGCCAGAGAAAGTTTCCACCTCACCCCATTGTCATAATGCACGTTGAAAATACTATACCTCAAAATGAAAACCGTGAAGATGCAGCCTTCTCTGGGTTGTGGGAGAAGTGCTGGTAAGAGCCCTAAATTGATTAACGCATCCTGGCTGGTACACCAGGAAAAGGCCCATCTCATTCAGCCACCTGCCTAGTTTCAGGTCCAAGCGCCTAAGGAGGAGGTCGCAAGTGGCTTTGGCCCCAGTGCTTATGATCAGCATTTTGAACTTGGTCTGGAAAGGCACCAACTGAGCTCCCACAACAGATGACAATCTGGCCTCAGAGCTCTGAGCCAGCCGAAGCTCCTGAATCACTTTCAAAAGCAGTCCATACGGAGTGCATGACAATAATCTAATCTGATTTACTAATGCATGAACAGCCAAGATCATTTAAGACTATATATGGTTCTTTCATTCCCTCCTAATTCCCATTTATGAATAGCCTACACACGCTCAAATTTCAAATACAAATATTTAATTCTATACAACAACCGGGGGGGGGGGCATTCAGAAGTACAAGAACATGTTTTCCTATGGGCTTTTTGTTGTTCTGTTTTTAAAGGTTAGGGGGGAATTGCCCTGCAACAATTCGGCAAACACTGAGTCTAAGCTTGGGATACAAACTCAAGCTACTGATTCAGTGACAGAAGAATGCGCCTCCATTGCCAGAAGGGCCATAAACCACTCTAAAGATGGCTTACAAAAATAAAGAAATCAAAGCCGGCACATTGCTTGAGTTGGGCATGGAAACACAGCAGTGGCCAACGCTCTCTTCCAAGGAAAGCGAAGCACCGCTCTGTCATGTCAGAGCTGTCACTGACTGGGCAACACTGCAAATTTCCAAACCATCTTAATGGGCAAAAACATTCTTCGCTGCAAAGGGCTTGATCCAGAGGTCTCTCCATCACCACCTGCCTGCTTGCAACATTATCACAATGGCCATGATTATAGTTATTGTTTACAAAGGCACAGAGAACACACAGGAGGGATTGTTTATCCGCATTCTAAAAGGATAGAAAATGACACCCTCTTAGCTAGCATTCTTTGTCTCTACAGAGCTTCAAGAAAATTCTCTCTGCAGCGGGCCTTTGGCAACTCACCTGAGGGCAGCAGCATGATAGGTGTCCACATAGTCCGAAATAAAAAGCTCCCGGTTCTTGATCACTGGGTCTGTAATAACCAACTCACGCCCAGAATCTGAAGGGAAAAAAGCCACCCATTTAGCTGGCATACTGTAAAGGAACTGATACCAGTTGCCACCTCAGAGGCAAACGCAATCAAACTAGAGGCCGAGAGACACAAGGAGCTGCCTGGACTCTAAGCCCACATTTTGGGAAGGGACCTCGTCTCCATGGTCAAACACCTGCTTTGGAGATGCTCCTGGGTTCTTTCTCCAGTCAACGTGATGAGAAAGAGCCTTCTCCGCTTCTGACTCTAGATGGCAGCTGCCGAAGCACGTCTCTGGACTGGATAGAAAAGCTCCTGGTTTTAGGCAGCTTCCTATGTTCACAGACGAATGTTAAACATACAGATCCCACTACTTTTCTCCATGCCTGTTCATGACCACTACAACCTTCAGAGAGTTTTCTCCTCACACTGTTCAGTCGGCAAGGACATACAACAAGCCACCTGCAGCCTTCCAGTTGTGGTATTTTCTCCCCAGGAGACAGTGCACAGGCCAAACATACACATGGAAGCTGTAGCTGGCTGCAGTTACCCTCACAAAGCATGGAAATATTGCCCTCTGCAGAATCCCTATGGTCTCAATGGGTAGTTCAGAAGAAGTCCCAAGTTTACAGTAGGCAAGTTGGTGCCCTGCCGGTGCTTTGGACTCCACCTCGTACCAGCCTCCAGCACCACAGCTGCCAATCAGGGATGGTGGGAATTGCAATCCAAACAATCCAGAGGGGAACAAGTTGTTTAACACAGTTCTCATTCTCATGGTAGTAGAAAAGAGAAAAGGCAGTATTTTCCTAAAGTTCAGAAATCCACAGCATTGTATATGGGGGCCCCCACAATTAGAGAACGGTCCCTTTCCATGGCCTCCTGTCTCATCTGTCTCACAGGTCCCAGACAATGCCCTGAAGGCAGCCAGTGTTCTTGGACTGCCAAAGCTAGAAGGGCCCCAGTCTGAGCAATGCCTTCACCGAAGGCGGCCCAAGAATCCAGCAGCAGTTGCTTTGAGCTTTCCATGGGAGGAAGAGGCTGCCAGTGTAACAAGCAGGCAAGCAGCTGCGTGTGCCTTGCAGCGCAAAGAACGCTACACCCTCCCCAAGTCTGACTTACCATTCTCATTGTGTCGGTCCTGAACTAAGTGTTGATACACAGAATCCGGGACTTCAGACTGGCGGTAGTACCATTTGACATTCATGAGGAGGTGGTCCCGCTTGCTCTGAAACGAAAGAAAGGAAGGAAGGATGCCATCATTTAAATTCTCTAGTGCAAATGCAGATAAGAACTACTAGAAAGAGGAGCTTATTTCCTGCAGAGGAGCAGAGATGCCAAATGGGTGAGAATGCCGCATTTCCCCACTCCCCCACTTGCGCTCTTGAACTGCTTTGAGCTCATTTTAAGGTAACAATGACGAACTGGTTTGTGTGCAATTTGGGCCCGGAAAATGGGGGCGAAATGGCAGAAAGGCTGAAAGCGGTTTGCGGAGCAGAGTTCATAAAAAATAATTTCTGGGAAGGAAGGGGAAAAGATAAAGGGGAGGGGGAACCCGAGAGAGGCCGAACGGCTCCCCATGGCACTGGGGGGAGCAGCTTTAGCTACGGGGTCTCTTGAGGCATGAGCTGGTGGACAGAAAGGGGAGAAGAGAGGCAGCACCCCATGGAGAAAGCAGTCGTCGGTTCTTCTCACAGCAAGCAGCCTGCCGGGGTTTATTGCCAGGGTGGAGCGTCATGACATGTGGACCCACCCAGTGTCCCCAGGTATCATGCTGCGGACTTCTGCTAACGGGCTTAACTTAATCTAGCCACATGCCACTCATTCAGCAGAAGAAGGCTCGCGCTAAAAGCAGGGTTAAGCAGCTTCTTTCTGGGTGGAAGGAAAACAAGGAAATATTTCCCATTGACAGGTTTCCAGTGTGAAGGGTGTGACATTCAGCATCAAAATGGCATGAATAGCCTGCATATGGTTATTACGCATTTTTCTGCACTCCTTTTCAGCCCTGTGAGGTTGCCACAACATTGACGCTCATAATAAGCATGACTGGGTGCTGAGAACAACCCCTGAGAGTTACCTTGTTTAATTGCTTTTTATTATTTAGATTTATGTCTAGGCTGCCTTTAAGGGTGGAACTCTCTTATTATGGTCCACCTTGCCCCAATTTAAAAAAAAGAAAACTACACACACACACAATTATCCAAGTGCACAGAACTCAGTGCAATGCATTTTGACATATGTATTTTAGCATGAGGTAAGCTGACGTTTGTGACCTGTAGCCCATTTTATCGAAACCCAAGTGCTTATTAGTGCTTGCAGAATCAGTAAAGTGTATACAATTATTCTGCTGTGAAAAGATGTATCTAATCAGTCTAGTTCTGACGACAGACAGACGGGCGGACGACCCAGCAGCTTACGAGACAAACCACAGGAAGGAAATAACATCTGGCCTCATGAAGTCACGGAACATGTAGCCACTGTTCATGTAAGGAAAGTGACATTTTGCAGCCACGACCCCAATTATGGAAAGCATGTCCTAAAAGCAGTCGTTGTGCAGAGTCAAACATGGTCTCCTCCTTGGACCAGGACGCAAGGGCCACTTCAGATGGGCTTCTCCGTGCCTTCTAATTTACAAACCCATTCAGAAAATGTGGCAGGGAACACTGCTCTAGAACGCCAGGAACCATTTAATAAAGCACTGGAGCTCTGGTTAGCAGCACTGGGGCATATTACTCTCGCTAGACCGCCAGTTATGTGGGTAGCTCCCCCCCACATATACACACAACACCTTCTCCCTGGCTTAGCGACCCACACAGATGCAAAGGCCGTAAATGAAAGCCAGTGCTATACCTCAAAACAACCAGCCAGTGGCAGCATTGTGCCAGGGGAAAAAATGAAGATTTCTAGAAACTGGCTGGAGCACATGTCACCCACCCTATTTTAAAAAGACAAGCTTAAGGAATCAGCACTTCCAAGGCTTAGGCAAAAACAATTTATGGCAGTCCAATCAGAGTTTTGCGGAGGGGCTGCAGCTCAGGGGCAGAAAAGCTGCTCTGTGCACAGAAGGCCCCCGTTCCATTCCTGGCATCACAGCACCAGCAGTTGCCTGAAACACTGGCAGGCGAAGACAAGGGCAGGCCGGCTAGGCCCATGCGCCACTGACAGCAAGGGCCGGAACATGTTTCATGCCCCACATCCCAGGCGTGGCCCCCCAGATCTGCAGCTGAGAGGACTCTTGCGCAGCAGAGCTGGGGGAGACCCGGAGCAGGGCCCTGCTGGGCCCGCTCACAAGGCTCCAAGGGGCGAATGAGAGCAAATACCCCACGCACCACTTCCAGGAGGCCCCTGGATTCAGCCGCCAGGTTCGGCTGCGTGATGGCATGGTGGGCAGAGCTGCCGGACTGGGAAAGCCTGGGGTTCTAGCCCCTGCTCGGCCCCGCAGTGCACCGGGTGGCTTTGGGCCAGTCTCCCCGCCCCCCCCCCCCACTGGGCAGCTGCAAGGATGAAATGAAGAGGGGGCTCTGGGAGAAAGGCGGGGTGCCTATGTAAAGGAAGGGAAGACAGCACTGGAAGTGCTGGAATACTCACACCTGAGGGTTTTATGTTCTCAAGTCAGAGGAGCGGGTGATGAAGAAGCTCCCCTGGACACTTCCTCCTCCTCCTCGTAAAGCGATGCCATCTGTAAAGGCCAGCCCATTCCTCACCTGCTTGCAGCAGCGGCCATAATCTGGCCTTCGTATGGTTTTACTGGTTGTGTATCTTTGTCACGTGACTAACGGGGCAGGCCAGAAATCAAATAAATAAACAAACACCAGCACACCATATGGCGCTTGAGGCAAGGAGAAGCAGGACTCCTTCCCTTCTCCCTTCCCTTAGGTGCCGTGGCTTCTTAGACTGAAAGCCTGCAGGCAGGGGCTGCCTTGCTTTTCGAACTGCATGGAAGCTGCTCTGGGAAACATTTTGACGAAAGGTGCGAGCGCAAGAGAATGCTTGCGACAGAGAGATATGCAGCTGTTTACAATAAGCCTCAAAAGACAATTCAGGAAATTTAGACCTTTCTGGAATATTTTGAACTCGCTTAGCTGCACATGGGAAATGCACCCAGATCCCCAGACTGGATCACTGAAGAAGCTTTACAGCTTGCACGGCAAGGAGGCCATCCCAGAAACTGTGGGAAGCCTGGATCTCATGTGCTGCTTTTGGCGCTGCGGGTGGCAGTGGCTTCAGGATCTGATCAGCAAACACCCAAGAAGAGAGGAAAGGGGGGAAAGGGAGGGTGGTGGATACACACACCTGGATTTTCCAAGTCACTGATCTCATTTGGTTTCCCATGCTTCTGTTTTGATAGTCTGCCTCTAAAGAAAGGTCCAGGGGATTATTAACTGCCTTGCCCACACGTCCCTGGACAACAACCACAGATGGCACTTCTGCGCCTTGCGTACCCAAGAGGAATGATTCATTGATCTATTCATTTGATTTATACCCTGCCTTTCCACCAAGAAAATGGTGTTCACGGCAGCTGACAACCGCAAAAGCATTAACAAGTTAAGAGTAGTAAGAGAACAAAATACATTAAAAAGATACCAACACTGACAGAGAACAAGAAGCACGCAACTCCAGACCATTTCGCACACCAAAGGCTTGCTTGAACAGAGATCCCAGATGCTGGGAGCAGACCCTAAGAATTTCCTACACCATGTCGCCACAACACATCTCACAGTACTAAAAGAAGGGCCTTCCCCTGCAGGTCCTTAATAAGAGTCTTCCCAAAGCTTCCACTCTTAATGCACCACAACTTATGACCAGAGAGAAACCCCACAGTGTCGACACAGCAATACTGAGGCTCATGTTCCAATGAAGTCCTGCCAGTTCTAAACACTGAATATTTATCAGGGTTGCCACCCATATTAAAGCGATTTTGCTGGATTACACATGAGCTTTTTTAAAATAATGGATTAATACTGTATAATTGTTTTGATGAGGAAAACTTTTTTTTTCCGTGATTTAGGTCGGTGTTGGAGTATTTCCTCCCAAACAAGTAGACAGCAAACTTGCTTTTTCTCCCAACTCCTGTGTAGCTCTCATGGCAACCAGATGAACTCGGGAAAACTGAAAGCACACGACCGGGATAGGAAGTAAACCTGATCTCCTTGTCCTAGTCTGACAAACCAACTCAGGAAGCTGCCACCTGGAAAAGTGGTAAACTGCAGTCGTGCTCTAACTATTACACCATACTGTCCCTCTCTTACATTCCCTCCTGTGCATGAGGCAAGGCGGTAGCAGAGGAATGTCTCTTCGATGGCGGTTTATAACCACAAGTTTTGCCAGATACAGATATTAAAGCATAATAAACTACCTCAAAGCATACTGTCAGATTAATTAGGGGCATATTGATAGACAAAATATTTTAAGCTGATTATACTGATTGATCAGGACAACATGCAGCCACTGTGTTTACAGATCTCTGCAAAACAGCCTTGGATAGGATGTGTGTGAAGTTCTTTAAGATAAATACAGCCCGTTCCAAGACATACTGGCTTCTTGCTAGCAGTTTTCACGAGGAGGGAGTGGGAAGGAAGGAGCTATTCCCCCCCCCCGCCGCCCCCATGCACCACAAACAAATTCCTCTTTTGATGTACAGCCCAGTTCTGGCTGTTCCCCCACCTGTCTCCGCGCAGTGTGGTGTGCCCATCTAACTTCCTTATTCCATTTCCTAAAACAAAACAGACTGGCAGCAGCAGCAAGATGAACACAGCCGGAGTTCAGGGCTCTGGAATGGAATCAGAACGACAGCCTGGGGAGCAGGGGAAGGAGGGTGCCCTTTTCTCTGAGCCCGCTTACCCGCCATTTCATTTCAACCGCATTTTATCAAACCAGAAGCTAGAATACTTGGCTTCCCTCTGCGTGCCAGTGGCAGACCAAACGGAGCCGAGGCAAGCACGCGGGATCTCTGTGCACCTTGGACAATACCTGCTGAGACTCATCTCCACCTGCAGGGCACTTCTCCCACAGACTCACTGCTTGCTCACACTCTGCCGGGGCTTTTGTTCACTGCTAATATCCCTGACCTCCGCGTTTTTGTGGGGCTGCAGCCTGTACTCCTGCTGTCGGTTTCGCTCTGCTTATCTGCATCGAGAAAGCAAGTTCAGAGACAGTTCAGCACCGTGACAAAGAACGGTGGAGGAAATAGCGAGCCCACCCCACGCCTCGCCCAATCCTTCCTCACGG